TGTTCTCAGATCTCAAAAGAATGCTCGTTGGGAAAAAATTTTCGTCGAATGAAGAGGTGATCGCCGAAACTGAGGCCTATTTTGAAGCAAAGGACAAATCGTACTACAAAAATGGTATCGAAAAGTTGGAGGATCGCTATAATCAGTGTATCACCCTTGAAGGGAATTATGTTGAATAAAAAAAACGAATTTTGCAAAAAAAATGTGATTTACTATTTTAGGCCGGGGACTTTTCAATTGACCTGTTACGTGGATCATACAACCAAATACTAAATTATTATTATTATTAGTAATATTTCTTTATTTAAACGTTTCCTACGTAGAGTCTTCCGCCCTATCCGCCATTATCTATTAACTTTTTTTCTTACTTTCCATTTTTTTAAATACTTTTACCTTTAGTTAAGCTTCACTGCATTCGAACTTACAATTAACGAAAAGGATAATTCAATAACATTTTAAAAATAAAACTACTATATGTTTATTCTTCTCTATCAATTTATCCCGTTGAAGCAATTATGTGAGAAGTATTGAAACATTCCTGAAGGGCTTCCAATACTTCCATTTATTCTCAATTGATTAATCTCTAGTCATGCAATGAGTAAACTGACCCAAAATTACTACCCTGGGCGAACAATATAACAGAACCGTTTTAGCCGCAGAGTAACATTCCCTTAGCGCCCTTAATTGCTTTACCGAAGAATGTCCAGAAATGGAAAGATGCAAAGGAAAGGGAGCAAAACACAAGTGTAACACACATACCCCTTCTCAATACATCACTAAGATCAAAGCAACAATAACGTTCACCTTTTAGTAATTATATTAGAAACGAATTAAAAGTCAACTTCTAAATTTTGACTATTTTTTACTAAATTAACAATGAAGAAATACAATTCTTTAAGTTAATTTGGCTACATAAATAAATAACAAAATTTATAAACTGTTTACAAAAATTTTATTTGGTGCACACGTTGCACTGTAGCTTGTTCCAGTTTAATTAACTATTACCCTCATATGTCTAAAAATTCAGAAGCAATTTACAATTTTGCATCGTTTTCTCTATTTTGTAAATTCAGGAATAAACTTTTGATTAGCAGCAAACGAATTACTTTCAAGGCGTTTAAAGCTCTCTCTCTGCATTTCAACGCCGTGTTATTACAAGAACCACAATTTGATTTATTTGAAGCTTTTTTAATTTGGCTTATCTTCGAAACCCTTACGTAGTCTTAAGGGCAATTGTACATCCTCTATTTTTAGGTCTGTAAATAGAAAACCCGCAATATTTCTGTGGGGCATTCAGTTAACTTCTTAATTATTCTTCGTATGAGTTATAACAATCTGAAATCGCTGCAAAATTTTTATTCTATATGTACCTACACGATGTCACCAACATCAACCGGTCTGATTCTGAATATTGGATAAAGTAGAATGCCGATGATTCAATTCCGATACTTTGATGTTATCAAACGTCACAAAAAATTTATTAAGAGAACGTTTAGCAGAAATGGATCCAATGAGTAATTTAAACGGAATTTACTTGGGAATGAAATCTGAAGAAAGATTTTTATTAACTTTGAGTTCAATCAACGCCGTAATAAACCAATACCTTTCGATCTTTAATAAATCTGTCGTACTTTGACAGTGTACCATTTCAGCTTCTTTATAGAAGAAAATTTATTCTCGAGGTATCTAACAAAATATGCTTTACTTCAATATTCTTTAATCTACAAATTAAATAACTTTAATTAAAACCTAAAGACAGCCGAGAAAATAACTTTATCCCTTAGATACCCTGGAGTTAAGTGTGGGGGTTATAATTAGATGCTCATTAAATGAAATACATCAATCACAAAGGGATACAGTAATACAAATACGGATACCAAAATAAAACAAAACCATNCAAGCTATCCAAGGATGGTACTATAGAATGTCACCTCAAGGTAGGCCTAGTGGCGTCATCTCTTGGTTAGGCCGGAAACTTATCAATCCACCCTCGTACTACAGTTCGGAAAGACGTTAATTCTTTTGAGGTATTATATTGTCAAAATGTTTTTTAAGAACAGTATAAATTCTTGCTCAACAATTGGATCGCGATCTTGATCGTATTAGATCTTATCAACACACCATTGGCAGTTTCGATAAGATGGCGATATACTGCTGTCAATTTGATTTACCGAGACTGCATAAGGCGTGCTGATGGGATCTAGTAAGATGAAAATTGCAATTTACTTACTAACCTCACTTTTAAGTTTAATTTATGTTATAAGAACTTACGGCCGCTAAGCCAATATTGTTTTTAATATTATAGAAAATTGGAGTAGATGTCTCAATAAAGTCCCTTGTGTTTGACCCTGTTTTTTTTTTCGTAACGTTTGCTACGTACCTTTATTTCAAAGCTTGATTATATGATTCGCAATAAAAAACTTGTTTCTTTTGCTTTTTTAAGCTATGAAATATGGAATTTAGTGGTATTAACCGCACAAAAAAATACAACAGGCTTATACATATAACGTACCCGGCTATTTTAATAAAACTGCATTACAACTTCATGAATATATAACACAGGAGCTTGTAATCTATGTACATACATCCATATTATATTAACTCTGAAATAATGAAACTTTGAAACGACCACGAGAAGATAATAACATGATCTACGAAGCTTTTTATCAATTTTGAACTATGAAAATAGTAAATTGGGTAACTCACAAGTCACTGCTTAGAGTAATGTAAATTATAATTATTGATAAGAATGGATACTTGATAGAATTGAAGTCATTAGATTATTAACTAACAAATATTTAATAAAATAACTGTCGAAACTGCCAGACGCGGATCGCGATTTCGATCTTTTTGGATCTCATCAGCGCGTCGCAGACAACTTCGACAGAACACAGAGCAACTTTTACCTGCTGTGTTAACAGGACAAGGTCCACTTGTGTGGATATTACTTGCTGAAACGAATCCTGGCGTAGCGAACCTCAACGTGATACACACGTTACCATAATCGAATAAAATAATTCGAAGTGGTCTGTATTCTGTTTTCTGTAACGAATACTTATTCATTAAAGTATACATTTTGGGTTGACTCGATTTTTGATGATAAATAATCCAATCTTATAAAATACGTTGTCTGATTCATACGGAAATAATAAAAGAAATACATGACTGTTGGTGTTTGCTATCGTAATAGTTTATAAAAAATACCACAATGTTTATATTAATCCTAGTACAGATCCGTCTGCAGAACAATCTAAGTCTGATTTTAAAAAGGTGTACATTTTTCGTTTCTCTTTAAGACGATCAAACTTTCATATTACCTACTTTCCTTTTAAGTAGGTAAAGAAATCAAGTCAATACAAGGGGTTGAAAAATTTATTCGCCTTCTGATAAGAACTTCATTAATCAGGTGTTCTTAAACATTAAAGATACATTCATTAACAACTGTATGTGACACTAAGGACATTTAATTATGACCTTAATAGAGTCTCGTACCAGAATACGAAAAGTCGATTGGACTTTACATACGACGTCTGTTCAAAAAGAATCGTGAATTTTGTTTTTTCAAAAATTATTATGAATATTTATTTTGTCCCCTTCAAGGTAATCCCCACCATATGTTATACAGTTGTGCCAACGTTTTCCCCAATCCTCGAAACACTTCAAAAAATCATTTTTGTGATCTTGTAACACCATAAAAAAAATCGAAAATCGACTATATGTAATCCGCGGAAATTCAAAATTTGTACTGTAAATAAATTTTACAATCCCGTATATTGACTTATTTCCTTATATAAAATTAAGGGAAGAAATGGAAACTATTTCCTTTTAAGTACAATGTTAATAGAACTGATAACATTTTCTAATGCTACTTGTTTCGGCTACAATGTTGACATTTATTTGCAGATTTGACTGCGGGTCCGGCATCGGTATATTACGTTCAGAAGAAACGGTATTACTAAACCAATGGAACCACATTTCGCTTTTCCGACACAGGTGGGATGCATGGTTGCAATTAAATAATGGAAAACACGTCCAAGGGCGATCGAAAGGACTCTTCTCAAGGATCACTTTCAGAGAGCCACTTTTTATCGGAGGAACCGGGAATATTACCAGCTTATCGGAAAAACTTCCCGTTTCGTCGGGAATTAAGGGTTGTCTTCGTAACTTACAAGTAAACGATAACTCGTATAAATTCGCCTTGGAGCCAAAAGGAGAAGCTTTAAAAGGATATGGAGTAGGTACGTCATTAAAATATTATTAAAATGTTTCTTCTATTCTTTTGCGTTGTTATTACAATGTTATGAGAAAAAAAAACACATAAACCCTAATATGTACACATGTGCGACTACTTTTCTACTAAGTACGAACTTTTTCTCCAAACTTCGACAGCGTAAAACTATTTTTAATTATTTATGATAAATATAATTGTTACATCCTACAACTCATTCAAAAGAGTATCTTAAATCGTTCCTGACAACTTCCTCTTTATGTCTGTAAAGTCTTATCCAAATCAACAAAACGTAGAACTCATTCATATGATGGTCATCAAATTCAATTCCTGTACGAGCTGGATTTTTAAGCTTGGCCATTGTGAACAACAAAAATCTTTCCGCAAAATCTTCCGTACATAAAGTGGATGGACACTCCAATTGTTGTGCACAATGGCCAATCGGTTCATTTGAGTTCTCTTCAATTCTACGTTCTACAGCAGCAACGATTTGTTCAATGAGCGCTGTAAAACGAACGAAAACGATCCACAGTTTTTCTTTCGTATTACTTACTTGAATTGCGACCCTAAGTTTCGCGAACTGGACTAAAATTTTCGACAATTTGTAAGCTTTGCTCTGATGTAAACCTATTCATGGTGAAATGACAAATCAAACTAAGGTCAAATAAGCAGTTAACACCAAACCGGCTGCTACTAAAGAGAATATTCCCAACTTGAAAGTCAACTTTCTCAAAATTACCATGATCGTCATTATAAAGTGGGCGTAAGAAACGTGTTAACAAAATTCAATATTAGTCCAATAATTTTTGTAAGAGAACCTTATAAACTTTACTAGAAAGCATAGGAATTTTTGGTGTACTAGTATTGTTAAAGCCAGGTATAGAAACAGAAAATTTGTAAGATAGGTTGTTTGGAATATTTATCGGGTTGTTCGGAAAGTGATTTCGTTTTTTCCCGACAGAGGATTTGATTGCATTCTTTTCTTAAGCCGTATAATTTTTATATGCTTTGAGAGCTCATATAGCAAGGCTTGTGTGTGAAAAATTCCAATTAATTCTACGCAGTAGTTTTTGGTTGGTGCCCTTTTAAATATGGAGAGCGATAAGCAGCATTTTCGACATATCTTACTGTTTTACTACAGAAAGGGTAAAAATGCTGTTCAAGCCAGAAAGAAATTGACTGATGTGTATGGAGAAGGTGTGTTGACAGTACGCCAGTGCCAGAACTGGTTCGCTAAATTTCGATCCGGCAATTTTGATGTCGAAGATGCACCACGTTCGGGAAGGCCGGTTGAAGCTGATAAAGACGCGATAAAGGCATTAGTTGATGTGAACCGGCGAATAACAACACGTGAGATCGGATTGAGGTTAAATTTATCAAATTCAACAGTTTATGACCACTTGAAAGGCCTGGGATTATCCTCGAAGCTCGATGTATGGGTTCCCCATGTTCTCACAGAGAGAAATCTGTGTCGCCGCATTGACGTCTGCGATTCGCTTCTCAAACGTCACGAAAATGATCCGTTTTTGAAGCGCATCATCACTGGGGACGAAAAATGGGTTGTATACAACAACGTCAAACGCAAGAGGTCATGGAGCAAAAAAGATGAACCGGCTCAAACCATTTCCAAAGCCGATATTCACCAAAAAAAGGTGATGCTGTCTGTTTGGTGGGATTTTAAAGGAATCGTTTTTTTTGAGCTTTTACCGGATAACACAACGATTAATTCGGAAGTCTACTGTCATCAGCTGGACAAACTGAATGATGCACTTCAACAGAAAAGGTCAGAACTAATCAACAGGAAAGGTGTAGTGTTTCACCAAGACAACGCGAGACCTCACACAAGTTTGGTCACTCGCCAAAAGCTTTTACAGCTTGAATGGGATACAATGCTACACCCACCATATTCTCCAGACCTGGCACCATCGGATTATTATTTGTTCCGGTCACTCCAAAATTTTTTAGACGGTAAAACCTTCACCTCAAATGAGGAGGTCAAAAACCTCCTCGATCAGTTTTTTGCCAGCAAAGACCAAAAATTTTATGAGCGTGGAATTATGCTACTACCAGAAAGATGGCAAAAGGTGTTGGACCAGAACGGTCAATATATAATTTAATAAAGTATTTGTTTATTATACGAAAACTGTCTTTCATTTCCACAAAAAAAAACGAAATGACTTTCCGAACAACCCTATAATTATTGTAGGTAGATTTTATGCTTTAGAATGTTTTGTAATTGTAATTGTTATCGGCCTGTGCTTCGAACTAACGATGGGAAAATCCATTCATTAACTTATATGGCTAGGAAATGGTCTGAAAACGTGTACGTACAGGTCCACTACCCTGGAAAGTACACGTAGTCATATTCTTAGAATAGGTGGGTTGTTCCTCCCAAAGTTACATTCCAAAATTATTGAACCTTAACTTTTTGAACACGCCCATCAAGCATCAGTATTCTCTTTTACAATAAATGTAGAACTGAACTCATAAGTAACTTGAACAGAACAGAACTTATCAGTAACCTGAACAATACAGAACCTTTCAGCAACTTAACCAAATCAGAACAATATTTTATTCATATTCATTCAGTTTAATTTAGTATAATTTGTTTGTTATTTGTTTTCGAATTAGTTTTTAAATAAACTAAGATCAAGTGTTGGTAAAGAAGTATTTTTTCTAAACCCCAGCATGATCATTTTTCCGGATCCGCGAATCCGACACTACCCAGTCGTACGGACGGCTGGGTGTCTTCTGAAGATTTCCCCTCTTCCACGAAAACAAAAAAAAAATCCATTGTCACGCAAAGGCATCCCGATTATAAGACACCATGGTAATGTTTACAAGAGTTTTGTCTCTGTTAATGTATAGAAGTGTTCGTACAATGATCTCCATATTGATTCATTGCATCACAGTTTAACATTTGGATTTGCAGAGTCCACATGCATTGATCTAAATTTATCTGTGATTTATAGGGTCAATTGAAAAGTCCCCGGCCTGACACATAGACAGCGGCACCAGAACTAAATCCATATGATTTTCAGTTAGTCCTAACCTTCAAAAGACGCGTCTATAAATTTGACGGCTGTCGGATCATTAGTTTGTGAATTATAGCATTTTTAGTGAAGCAACTTTTGTTATTGTGAAAAAAATGGATAAAAAGGAATTTCGCGTGTTGATAAAATATTGCTTTTTGAAGGGAAAAAATACAGTTGAA